CTTTTTTAAAGAAATATTTTAATGACTTCAATATAATTTATTCCCTTTGTAATTCTATGAGTTTTATTTTATGCATTTAAAAATATTATTCAGAGAAGGGGTCAGTAGGCTTCACCAGACTGCAAAGAGATCCATGACACAAAAAAGGTTAAGAAACCCTAATATATATTGAATTTTTCTTCCATTTAAACCCTGTACTGAATGTTCTCTAGGATAGTGGGGAACACCTTTTGCAAGTGTGTATCTCAGTTTTGTGTACTGCTTGATACTAACTAGAGGATTCTGGAACAAAGTTTCTTCTGTTGTTGTATCTATTTAAAACAAACAAACAACAACAAGAAAAACAAAACTTTTTACAATTTTGAGAGATGCATGGGATATGCCTTATTGGAGGAAAGCCTTTAAGGCTTTGTTTTGTCCCACCAAATTAACTTCTTTGTTAACAAAGAAGCAATACAATGACATCTGGTATGCCCTGCATTTTTCATTCAATGCCTTACAATGTTTGACTCTAAAGATGTGTTCTTACCTAGAATTAATTTCTGAAAGCCTGATTTTTCCCTTCTAGTACAGGCATACCTCAGAGATGTTGCATGTTTGGTTCCAGACCACCCCAATAAAGTGAATATCCAAAAAAGTGAGCCACATGAATTTTTGAGTTTCCCAGTGCATATAAAAATTATGTTTACACTATACTGTAGTCTATTAAAGGTGTGATAGTATCATGTCTAAAAAAATGTACATGCCTTAATTAAAAAATAATTGCTAAAAAATACTAGCCATCATTTGAGCCTTCAGCAAGTCATAACATTTTTGTTGGTGGAGGATCTTGCCTCAGTGTTGATGGCTGCTGACTGATCAGGATGGTGGCTGCTGAAGGTTGGCTATGGTAATTTCTTACAATAAGACAACAGTGAAGTTTGTCTCTTCGATTATTAACTCTTCCTTTCATTTGAATACTTAGAGGCCATTGTAGGGTTATTAACTGGCCTAACATCAATATTGTTGTATCTCAGGGAATAGGGAAGCCTGAGGAGAGGGAGAGAGACAAGAATGGCAGATTGGTGGAGCAGTCAGAACACACATTTATTGATTAATTTTGCCGTCTTATATGGGAATGATTTGTGACACCCCAAAACAATTACGATAGTAACATCAAAGGTCACTGATCATAATAACAGACATAATAACACATCATAATATAATATGTTATATTATAACATATCATATGATATATAAATGTCATGTACTTATAATGTGAGATATATAAGTACAATATAGTATTATAATATAATCATTATAATATATAATAATAATGAAAACTTTAAAATATTGCGAGAATTACAAAAATGTGTCACAGAGACTTGATGTGAACACATGCTACTGGAAAAATGGTGCCAATAGATTCGCTCAGTGCAAGGTTTCCACAAACCTTCTATTTGTAAAGAACAATGTCTGTGAAGTGCAATAAAACAAGGTGTGCCTGTATTTTCATCAAAAATACTAATGATATTGTGTGATTATGTGTGTGTGTGTATGAGAGAGGGAGAGCATTTTTTCAATGTTCATATCTATTACGTGGGGGGGAAAGAGTATACTTGAAGGAAATATTTATTATAAAAAGGCATGAGGCATTTGTGTAATCTACAGTCTTCTGGTTGTAATACATGTGTAAGTTTTTCTTATCAAGATTTTATAAAATAGACATAAGGGTTGGCAGTTATTGAACTTTTTTCTGTAATATTAACATTTATGATTTTTGCTCATCCAGTAGCTTTTCCTTTTTTCAAATATCTTAAGAGTCTTCAAAGTTATGTCAGCTCCAAGCTAGACCTCTTCTGTGTATACTTGGTTAGAAGCTCCTCCCATCTTGTTTTACTTAGTATCACTTCTGTTTCCTCATGTTGCATATATTGAATCCAAATCTAGTAATTTTGTCATTGGTGGAGAAAATTGTTTGTTGTAGAAATATTGACTGATATTTTCCATTTTTGCTTTTTGTCCCCAATCCATTTCCTTCCATAAATTTTTTTTAAGACTCTGGCTTAATTTTCATGACAAGGTTTGCTGCAAATTCCTTATTACCTCCACGGCTTTTTTTAAAAATACATATTTTTTTTCAATAAGCAAGAATCAACATCTCTCCCTTCTGTCCCAGTGCCCTACCCAATTGGGAATGAAAGAAAAACAAAACCCCTATTACAAACATGTATAGTCAAGCAAAACAAGTTTCTATATTGGCCACATTCCAAAAAAAGTCTCATTCTGCACTTTGAGTCCACCTTTCTATGATGAAGTGGGTAGTATGTTTCCATCATCACTCATCTGGAATCATGGTTGGACATTATGCTGATCAGATTCTGTTAAAGTTATCATTGTACGTATTAATTATTCTCCTAGTTCTATCCACTTCACTGTGTATCAGTTCATGCAAATCTCAGATTTCTATTAAACCATTTATTTCATCATTTCTTATAGCACAATAGTATTTCATCATATTTATATACCATGACTTGCGCATCCATTCCCCATTTATGGGTACCACCTCAGCTTCCCATTCTTTGCCACCTCAAAAAAATCTATAAATATTTTTATACATCCTTGGAGTTTGTTTTGCTTAGGACTAATCCTTCCTTTATCCCTCCCTTGCCTTCTCTCTAATTCCCTTTCTCTCTCTCCCCTTTCCCTATTTCCCTGTCGAGTGAAGTGCATTTCAATGTCCAACTCTTTGTGTATGTATCTATTCTTCCCTTCTTTGACCAGTTCAGATGAGAGCAAGGTTCCAATGAGAGTCACTCTCCCACTGCCTTCTCTTTATTTGTATAGATGTCTACATGCACATTCTGATTATGTAAAATAATTTTCCTTAACCCTTCTTTTCCCTACCTCCCCCTCCTTTATCCTCTCCTCACTTTTTATTCTTTTAAGATCATCAAGACATAACAGAACCACTGCCAAGCCTTGTCTAATTATGGGCACTGATGATTGGGTTCATGTATCATTTCATATTAAAATGTAAGCAATTTATCATTGTTTAATCCTTTATCATTATTCATGTTTACTTTTTTTTATGTTTCTCTTACATCCTATGTTTGAACATCAGAGTTTCTATATCAGGAATGATTGCAAGTCCTCTATTTCATGAAGGTTTCTTTTAGGATTAGATTCAGTATTGCTTGGGTAAGTTATTCTTGGTTGTAAGCCTAGATCCTTTGCCTTCTAGAATATCATATTCCAAGTTCCTTGCTCCTTTTATAGTAGTGGCTGCTAAATCATGTGTAATTTTGACTAGATCTTGGTACTTGAATTCTTTCTTTCTGGCTGCCTGCAGTATTTTTTCTTTGACCTGGAAGTTCTGGATTTTGGCTGTAGCATTCCTAGGAGTTTTGAGTTTGGGACTGCTTTTAGAAGGTGACCAGTGGATTCTTTCTATTTCCACTTTACCCTCTATTTCTAAGAGATGTAGACAGTTTTCTTTTAAGATTTCTTGAAATATGATGTCTTAATCCAGCTAGGTCTATGACCTAGAACTGGCAGTGAGCAAGAAGCTGCTAGTTGGCACCTGCTTCCATGGTAGTGCCCTGGTCTGGGCCTGTGGGCACCCTGTTATGGGTCTAGTCTCTCTTCTTACCCTGGTGCATGACTTCTCTTATAGCCAGACCCCTGTCCCAATGTTTACAGACCTTCCTGCGTCTTTCTCTGTGCTGACCTAGGCTGGAAAAATGACTCAGTGTGACTTTTTCTTGGATTTCCCCACAAGGAATCCTGATGTGTTTTCTAGATCTGTTTGAAGGAGTTTGGGGTAAGGGGAAGTTTATTATTCTTCTTCCAGCTACTTTGCCATCTTAGCTCCACCTCCCCTCCTGGCTTTTTGCTGTTTAATGACTATTACTCATAATCCTCCCCTTCCTTTTTATCTAGATTTAGGAATGAGTTTGTATCCTTAATTCTTATTGACTTTAGCTGACATAGCTCTCTCATTGGGAAGTGTTTACTGCCTGTGGCAGTTTCTAGGTTCTGTTGGCTTTGTTGTGGCAATTGATTGAAATTAAGTTTCCATGAGAAATAGTTCATCTTGATATCTATTTCTTTATCCATTTCCATTTTTCAGTGTCAACAACTTTTTAAAATAAATCAGGTTGAAGCTTTTAAATTACAATAATATCTTCTAATTTGGAATTCTATAATTGTTCTACACAAAAAAAAAAAGGTCGACAGTTACTGTACACAAGCAGCTGGTTCAGAAATTATTGACATACGTAACTAATCATTTCCTTTTTGCTGATAACAATGACTTTAATTCTTTGGATCTTACTCAGTGCTCACCATATTTAGGACCTCCCAACTTTCTTATTAGAGAAAATATTCATGATTATCTAGATATGAGGCTTTTGTGTTTCTGCAAACCTTTGGGTTTTTTTGTTGCTCACTAGAAAAAGAACATTTTCCAATGTATCTTCACTGTTTTCCACTCTGCCTACCTTTGCATTGATGTCACTAAGTGTTAAAGTGCATGTCGATTTGATTTGGAAGGTCGTATCAACTTCTTAGTAAAATTTCTCTCTCTCTCTGTATAAATAGATATTGGTATTTAACCTTCATTTATCTTCATAGTGGTCTTTTTGCTTAGGCTCCTTATGAGCTCCTCGTGTGAAATAGATCAAGTGTCCTGTGAAATATTTCTTGTTGTCTTTGGACATATGATTAAACCAGCTCTGTCAATAACTTTATTTGCATCTCTGTACAGAATCTGAGCTATCTTTCCATTTAGCTACCATTTCCTTCTGCTTTCAGTTATAGCAAGAATGTCAGTATTGATAAGATACAATTCTTCAAGAAGTGTCCAGTCAGTGGACAATGATTTCACATTTAGAGTACCAATAATATTAAATAAATAAATTATATAAATATATATAATTATATAAATAAATTAAATAAAAATTAATTAAGACAGTCTAAAAACTATGAGTATTAGCATCCTCCATTCCCTTCTCTGCTACCACCACTGCAGAAGTGGAAGGAGATGTGCCACGAGCGCCTGCGTCCGCCGCCGTGGTCTGATGCCGGCAGACTGTGAAGAGAGAAGGAATCATAGGCCAGGTGGGAGATGTGAAGAACAAACTCTGTTTATTGATCTGAGGGCTCAGGCTTATATAGTACTGGATCAAGCAACAGTAACATTATTTTTCATGAAAAGTACAAATCTAATTAAGTGATTTCCTTACTTCCTTGTACCTTGTCTGTTACATTCTTTCCTGCATCCTGTCCTGTACCCTGTTTCCTCCCTTCCTGCATCCTGTTCTCAAGAGATGGAACAGGGAGGTGGTGAGCCGACATCCTGAGTTTCACAGCTGTCAGGCTTAGTACAAACTATAGGTAAGACCCGGGCTGGCCTAAGCCCTCCAACTCTCCAGAGCTGGCCCTCTACAGAGATGAATAGGACTAAAGACCATTTTGCATTTTTGTTTCATGGGTTGCCATGACCAAACAATTCACCTTCTTGTGATCAGCCTTCTGAGTATGAACCTCTCTCTACTTAGCTAGTCTGGTCCTCAAGAAATAGGCACAAGCTATTAACAGAACTGCACTTGAAACTGTTCCAATATGGTAGAAGCTGCTAGAGCTTCTGCTACATTGGCATATCTTTGAGAACCCAGGATCACTTTTTTTTGCCACAATGGGGAATTGGAATAGGTCTTAACAATTTTTTTTTAAAATCACTTCTTTTCATTAGTAAAATGGTATATAGCCTATTTATATTCACCATGTGTGTCTTCATTGCCCTTTGGGGTACTGGCAATTTTTGTTAATTTGAGATTGTGGCATTTCATTATTGGTCCTAGCCCAAGTCTCACTTGCTTTTTGGGTTTTGATGGCTCAGAGTGAGTATAAATAGCAATTGTTTCTTGTTCTGCCCAGAAACTCTGAAGGTCTTCCCCTCCTAGATCGATTCTTTTGTGAAATCAAAGTAGGCAGTCTTTTGCTTCAAGTCTTACCTAGCCCTGAATCATCGAATGGGTGCTGCCTCAGACAGAGCCTGGGAAAGACTTTAGCTTAAAAAGGCCAGGCTCTCCTACTGCATCCGGGCCCATTGCCAGTTGTCCTGATGTCTTGCCACTGGACTCAGATGACTCTGGAGAAGAGAATGAGGCTGATGATTTCGCACACAGCTCTATCTCACTTAAATCCAATTCATTTGCAAGTCAAGACATCACCTCCTGATGTCATTGGTCCTCTTCAAGAATGAAGGACAAACAGCAACAATTGTGGGAAAGTAGGGGCTACAGATTAGTGTCCTTTGTTCTGTCGTCACTTGACTTTACAAACATGTTCTTCTCCCCCTCACAGAAGCAAGTTAGCTAGCCACACAAAAATCACTGTAGCTCAGTTAGGCATCTTCAAGGACCAAACTTTACTGAGGGCAGGAGAGGGGAGAAGACACAGTGGACATTATGACTGGCCTTGAAGTCAAGCATCAGTAAAGTGCTGGGTACATAATAAGCACTCAGGAATCACTTCATAGTACTCAAATAGTAGAGCCATAAAGTTCCCAGAATGTTAGGCAGCCAGAAAATTTCCAGGCCCATTCCATATTGATTTAATCTAAAAAGAGGCCACAGACTCACATTCATTCCATCTGATCTGTCTTCATTTGATTCAGACCTCAGTGCCTGAGAGGGAGGGGAAGGTAGTGTCTGATAACTATGGATGGGGGTAGGGGTGGTGTTAGAGGATAGACGTCTCCCTTCTGGGACATTATAAGAAGTGGAGGTAGAAGCAGAGTGTCTGAGTTCTGTTGTAAGGATCATACTAATAGTAAATAGTAGTAAATAGTATAGGAAATACCTTGCTTTGTAGGGTGAAGTGTATATATGTCTTTTGAATATTTGGCTATAGTTTGTTAGTTAAATTTAGACTGTAAGCTCTTAGGGGGAAATTTGAATAGAGTGAAAGTGAATAGTGAGGCTGGCAAACATGGGATCCTGTAGAAGATCAGCCTGGCTTCAAACTTACCACTTAGGAAGAAGTATCTACAGCACCAGAAACCAAGGCAAAGGAAGAGGGAAGAGCCTGTAATACCAAGAAATACTTACCCATATCAAGAAGGACCTTGACAACCCCAAAGCAGAGGTATAAAATGAGTGGAAGGGACAACGTAACAACTGGGAATACCTTTAAGCGTTCCAATGAAAGGTGAGCAAATCTATCACTGGAAGTTGGTTAGGAAAATAGCCTAAGAAACTCTATTATCCTTTGTCTATATAGACCTCAAAGGAACAGATTGTAGGAAACTAAGAGCTCATTTCTAAACTATAGTTATGGTAAGGGGAGAAGGCAGCTGATGAAACAGTTTTCCATAATTTCAACCGAGGCTTTTAGACAGCCCTTGATGTCCCCAGTGCCACATACTTGGGTGTAAGAAAACTTGTGAAAAGTTGTTAGCCATTTTCTTCCTGGCCAAGGTTTGGTGAAAATTTATCTGAGTTTCCACATTTGTATTTACCATTGATAGAAAAGAGGAGACACTAGATCAAGGCACACTGCATCCATTGTCCCTAATTTGCAAGGCTGTTTACCTGGTTAAAAGAGAATGATAAAATTTCACAGTGGAAGGTACCTTAGACCTCCTTTAGTGCATCCATCTTATTTTAAAGATGATGAAGTTGAAGCCCAGAAAGGTTAAATGAGGCCTCACAGTTGAGGTCTCCTGTCTTCCACAATATTTTAACAGTAAATACACTAGATAATAGATGTGTGTGTATAAATAATGGTGGATTTTGCTGCCTATTACTCTGAAAAAGGACTCCCATCAAGCACTGATCATTCAGTAGATGAAGCTTTGATAAAAGTCTTCTACAATTGTATTTCCCTTCAGATCTTACACTCTCTGCCAGATACAGATCTCAGATTTACTATCTTAATGGTCAAATTTCCTATCTTAATGAATGGGTTATCTGTAGAAGTATGGAATTAAACATCTGAAGGCCACAGCCCACTGCAACAAACCAATGGGCTGGTATAGTTTGATGGGACTATTAAAATGATCAAAACCTAAGTGAATTCTACTTCAGTAAGATAATAAATAATTGTATTTGCTGTTTACTTTGAAATGCCTCAACATTCTGCAAGGTCCTCTTTATAAGCTAAAATTTTGGAGTGTCGCTAGGAGCTCTTTTACCCTAGAATAAAAGCAGCTTTTATTATTTATATTTCTTTTAATATTTACTTAAAATTTTTCATAAGTATTCTCCATTATCCAGTACATACTTTATTAACCACAAAGAATAAACTGGTGGAAACAAATGTCCAAGAGTACCAGGCATGATATAATGAGAAGCCAGAGGGGCGCACAACAGGAAAAAGGAGAAAAGAACTTGCCGAGTTGTTTCAGATAATATGTTTAAAGCCAAACTATCAGAGAGAAAATGCTCCTCTAGCAACCCAGTATGTAAACTGTAAATGACATGCACTCAGCCCAATTGTAATTACTGAGGGAGGTAGCTTTAACTGATGGACAAAGGAATTCAATGTCTTTGTTGGGAGCAGCTTACCCAGAAGAGAGATAATTAGGTTAGTCAGATGGGCAGCATGTCCTTTTCTCTCTCAGCTCTTCCTCTTGATTCAATTGCTCATTTACTGTGTCCTCAAATCTCCTTCCTCCCTTGGCTTCTGACTAGTGCATATCTCTGGCTCTCCAACTTTTCTACTTCTTTGACTTTTTTTCTTCTCTTGCTTCCTAACTTTTGAGTATTTCCCTGGGTGTAATCTACCTTTATACTGTGTACACTTTAGGGATTATTTCATTTGTTGTAGTTGTATCCCCAGCTCCTAACACGGTGCCTGATAACAGGAGCTTAATGAATGTTTGGGGAATAACTGACTCAGCTGTCTGGAACTTCCAAATTTGCATCTCTGATCCTGTCCTTGGCCTAATTACAATCTGTCAACTATCTATTAAAAATTTCTACTTGGATGACTCATAGTCACTTTAAAATGTGCCAAGGGGGAGGGGGAGTCAAGATGGTGGAGAAAAGGCAGCAAATTTCCTGAGCTCTGCCCAAAACTCCTCCAAACAATTTTAAGTAATGCCATAAAACAATTCCTAGAACAGCAGAACACAGAAAAGGACAGGGGGAAATAATTTTCCAGGCAAAGACAACTTAGAAGGTCAGCAAAAAAAGGTGTGTTCCACCTGAGTGAGCGTGGAGCACAGTCCAGCCCAGGCCACACCAGCACAGACCCTGCCCAAGCAAACCAGGAGCAGGTCTTGGGAACCACTGAATCAGCGGTGGCAGCAGTACATCTGGAGCTTTCAGGCCACAGACATTAAGAGGGTCAAACAACTAGTCAGAAGGAGATTACAGGGGTCTCTTTGCTGGCACTGAGGCAGGACTCTGTTGCTTTGCCCATACTGGGATCTGGGTTGCAGTCCTGGGCGGCAGTTCCAAGGTGAAGAGGAGCAGTAGCATAGCAGAGCTCGTGGTAGGAATGAAGAGAGGACCCTCATCCCAGTTCCAGGGCAGAAAAGAGTGCTTGTGGTCACTCACAGACCAGAAGAGTAGTAGTAAACACACCTCTCCCTAGATCATACTACCCTGAAAGAGCCAAAAACTTACAGGTCCCCAGAATTACTTCCAAAAACAGCTGCACAAAACCCCTGAAGCTTGGGACAGTGCACCCTGCACCTTGGAAGCAGAGCCCTACTTTAACAAAGAGTTAAAAGTCAAGAAATAGGCTGGAAGATGAGCAAACAACCGAAAAAAACTCTGACCATAGAAAGTTACTATGGTGATAAGGAAGATCAAAACACACACTCAGAAGAAAACAAAATCAAAGCTCCTACATCCAAAGCCTCCAAGAAAAATATGAATTAGTCTCAGGCCATGGAAGACCTCAAAAAGGATTTTGAAAATCAAGAGAAGCAGAGGAAAGATTGGGAAGAGAAATGAGAGTGATGTAAGAAAATCATGAAAAAAGAGTCAACAGCTTGGTAAAGACATGCACACACACGCACACACACACACACACACACACACACACACACACACACACACACAAAAGAAAATAACA